AAACCTCTCAAACAAATCATTTGGGTCAATATGACAACTGACTTCCAGGTTCCTCTGAGGTGCAAACTGTTCCTGTTATAGCTCTGACTGGGTGTTCGTTGCCCAGCTGCCCAGAGCTCTGAGATTAAAGCAGAAATACAAGCAGCAATAATGCTGTAGAAGATGACGAATGCATCCTTCTCAGCTGAGAATTTAGACAGCTTGTAGATTTCTTAAAGGTGGGAGGAAGCATAAAATGTTACAGCACCACACATCAATACCATAAAAAAAAAATCTTTGAAAAGAGATGTAGAAGATGTGCAATTACAAATAATCATGTTCCTACACTCTCAGAGAAAGCATGGAAATAAACACAGTACAAGATAAACACATAAGGTTTTCAGTCTCCTGGGAAGAGGTAATGACTCCCAACAGAAAAAAAAATAGCTAAATTAAGGTTGTAGCTAACAGTACATTGTGATTTCTTTAGTATGTTTTAGTACTACATTAGAAAAGTACTTGATTAAAAGCCAAGAAAAATTAAAACATTCTCAGTTACACAGATATGGCCATGTAGTCATGCAGCTGCCATTTCTCAGATTTCACTACGCAAGTTAACACCTTACAGGCCTTCTCTTTACCACTTTCAAAAGTAACATCTACAAGGAAAGGAGAAACACCAGCTAACTCTGGGGTTAAGGGTTTTGTACAGGATTTGGAGGAATAAGGCTATATTCCCAACCCAGTGACAGGCTGCTCATGACCCTGGTGAAATTAGTCCAGGCAAGACAGCAAGAGACCTCAGTGTAGGATGTTCTCGAGCTCAAGCCTCTTCTCTGCCTGAAGTCATATCAGCTGTGCTTCTCCCTAGGCTTAGTCTCTCTCCCTGGTCTAGAGTGCACAGGGGACACACAGATATTCACAGCTTCTCTGGAACACAGAGACTCTGCACTCACCCAAGGCTGCAGGTGATTAACCAGCTCTGAAAGGGAGATGTGGAGCTGCACGGTCAAACACAGTAGTAAAGAACCTGCTCAAGGATGACAATAAGGCATGCACATGCCTTCCTGTGCAGTTGTAATGCAAAATAAAGCAATTTCTACAGGACAGACTAAAAGAGTTAAATATCCTATCATCTAGCCAAACCAACTCCTCATTTAAACTGAGACCCACGTGCCCCCAAGGCAGGTGGCAGCTCTCCCTAAGTTGTGTAGTGTTCTCAGCCCCTCAGTGCTGTGCAACACTCTGCCTGACAAAACCTCTTTTATCCAGCAAGACCACAACATTTATACATTTTCACTTACTACAGATACGCTGGGAGGTTCAAAGTTTGAGGCACGGAGCCACTGTGGTAGCAGGAATTGTACACCTCATAATTTGGGTAGATCAGCTCATAATTTGGGACCATATTGTCCCCAAAGAGGCCTCAGTATTTTAAAATCATCAACTTAAGTAGGTGGCTGAATATCAATAGAGATTGATGACAACAGCCACACACAAAGTGACAACTTCTTTTCCCCTCTATCATGGCAAGTTAACTACCAAAGCAGTACTCGTGACTATATTTCTACATAAATAAGAACTCCCACTGACATAAATATGAGTTTAGCATGAGCTAGCCGTACATAAATGTAATTCCTACTAATAGGCACATTTGGAGCTGTCAACAGTGATTTGAGTATAACACTAAGTAGCATGAAGAGACAGCAATAAACACTCCATATTAATTCAGCTTGCAAGAAGAAGGAGGTCAGGGGACAAAAAAGCAAAGCAAAATGAAACCCAGAACTTGTCAGATGGAAAAGGACAAAACCAGTTGGAAAATAATTTTATTTTTCAGACTTCTAAGAAAATTTACAAACAATGGTGGTGTAAAAAAAAAAAAAAAAAGGAACACCCTATAAAAAAAATTGACATTTCTCAAACTATAGCATCAAAGGAAGTTACAGAGCAACAAGCATACAATGAAATTCTATTCATCAAATTAGTATTAGTTAAGTAGTTAAAAATTTAATAAGTCAAGTCTAATAATAAATCTCTACAGCTTACTCAGAAATTGTAACAATCAATTCTGAGCTTAAATTATACTTACAATAGACAATGAATTCACCTCTGCAATCATCTACAGCACTGAAATCAACTAGGTCAAATTACATAGCAAAGGCACACCTTGGGAAGTCTGTAAAGGACAACTTGAGCACAGCAAAATTACATACAGCATAAAGCAAATCACCCTGCATGCTTGTTTCTTAGTCCCCAGTGTCTAATATGAAATACAATATACAAATAACAGAAGCAATATTTAGTAACTCTTTTCATGCTGGTTCTATTTTTCATGCAGAGTGACAGAAAGGCTTCCTTTCCCTGTTTTCTGTTTGAGCCTTGGCACATTCCCAGGGCCTGTCCTCCCTGTTTTCGTCATCATCCTTGTCATTAGAGGAGCAGGTAGTTCTTAACAAGTCAGTCCCAGGCAGGACCCCCACCATGGCCCCTGCATATGCACATCTTCATCCTGCAACCCCTCTCCAACTCTCCACATGCTGAACTCCAACATGCACACACAACATGCCCAAACCTAACCTCCATTCGCCAAAGCTTACAGATGGGGCACAAAACAAACTAATGCTTGTAGCATTAATTACTGCTGCAGGCTTTCCTCTACTTGGGTCACTTTGAATAGTAGGCATTTAAAAGCCATTAACACAATTTAATTAACAGCTTAACTCAAAATTGCACAGGAACTCCAAACACCGGCACACTAAAGCTTTTTGAACGCAAATTTGAATACACATGATAACCTGGTGTTTTCATCAACCCATAAATCAACTCTTCCTGACCCTAACATATATATTCTGTTCCAAGTAAAAGGAGCAATAACTATTTTTTAGTTACAGTCTATGGATTTGGGCTTTCACTGTGCTCATCAGGAGAAACGCCAAAGACAGAGTCCATTAAATACTGCTAAAATAACTCGTTCTTGACAGTTCAAGAGAGTGCATCAAAGGGTTATTTTTTCTTTCAAAAGTAAAAACAAACCCATGAATCATCCCATTTAATGAGACCTCTTTCGTGACTGCTTATAAATGGGTTCTTAAAAAAAAATAGCAGATGCGCATATCTCATGTTAAAACAAAAGTTAGTAAGAAGGTTGCACCAGTGTTTATCACTGAATTTGTTTACATATAGACAATATCTGAAATTCTTGCCAAGTTATCTTATTAGGGCTGCTAGAAACACCATTAAACCTGACAGCACTTTGCAATAAAAGAGGTGGGTATTTATGTCATTGGGGTCAACAGGCAGTTGTAGGGACATAATTTAGCTTTTAATGATTTTGAAGATACCAAATACTCACTTTCATCTTCCCATTTTCCACAGATATCCAGGGTAAGATCTGATATATTCACATCTAAACCAACAATTCAGATCACAACATTTAGACCATGTGAGCTGATTGTACTTGAATTACTTTCTTTCCTCCCTGCCTATAAAAAAGCCACCTTTGAGCTTTCTAATCCCAAAGCAGAGCCCTTCCAGAAATCAGTCTTGGTCATTTTTCCCAAATTCTCCCTACCTACAAGGAGCAGCCACAAGAAACCAACAGCAGATGCACAGTTGTGCACCCCACTGCCCGCAGCCACACTTCCAGAACTGGGCTGGAGGGCTCGTGAGGATCTGTGGTGCCAGTGGTTGGCAAGGATGGCCTTGGAAGATCACTGATCCTACTGACCATAGTCTTAGAAAATGTGTCCCACAAGGGCCTCCCTACCTGCCAAGTGCTACAGGAACATCCAAGGTGCTGTGATGGGGCTGTGCAAGTGTCCCAGGCAGACAGAGCTTTCTAGTTTGCAAATATGCAAAGGCACTCAATGACAGAAATGCATGAAACACCTCATGAGAAGAAAACAATCCACATTTATAACCTTTTCATTTTTCTTTCATCACCTACTAGGCATTCAAGCCCTTTTCATAGCAGTGGTTTATGTAATCTCACATTTAATTAAATGTACACACTTCACTGGCAGTGTGTAATTCCTCATGAAGAAGTCTCTCTTGTTGAATCCTTGCTTCACACATTCCCTAAATTAAGCACTCCCTCTAACCTTCCCAGCCTTTCAACAGCTCACTAATACAAGCAGCTTTACCTTCTTCTAGTTTAGCAAACACATTCAAAAAAATCTTCTCCAGCATGGATAAAATCAGATACATTTTCATGCAATGTATAATTAATGTATAAAGCTTACTGCCATAAAAAGACAAGAATGTAGCAGGTCCAAAAAGAATTTATAAGAACATCAAAGTCTTAGCAACAGATACTGGCAAATGTCTTTGGAAAGACAAGTGAACCTCCACAGTTTAGGTATTAAGTCGTTATGTGACTGGTGATCAAAAATAAATTTTCCTGCAAATAAACTGTCCTGTTTGTAGACTGCTAGTGAATTTTTGTCTACCTGCTCTGAAGTACCTGTCATTGGCCAGTCACATTACTGCACTGCCATGCTGACTTGAATATCTTGTATTTCCCCAGTGAGAAATGGGTCTAACCTGGCTTCTCGTGCAAGGCGTGTTCAAACTACAGTGACAAGGAAAAGAAAAACATCAATAGCATAAAAGTATGCACTCAGATCTCCTTAAGAGCAGCACATACCATTTGACTTCTTTCTTTGTAAATATCAGCAGCAAGACAGGTCAGTGTCTTCCATGCTTGCTTGCCATTATATGACAAATCCAGTGCCTGCAAAACTTTTGTCTTTCACTTACATGTACCCAAAGCCAAAATTGGCTGATTTAAAAGTAATGATTGTGGTCTATATTGTTCAGTGTTTCCTTGACTAGGCACAGATTTTGAGGAAACCATGTGCTAAGCCTCTCCATTTCAGAATAAACAACAGAAAAAGTTATTACCTGTTCAGAGTATAAAGGAAACAATTTTACTCATGACCTACAACTTACATAAATTTAAATTAATCATGCTATATTAACTAAGGTTCTTTAGCATCCGCTCAATGTTAGGTATTTACCTTTAGTCCACCACAGATTGGACAAGATGAAAAAAGAGCTCTTGTCATCCCAGGGTGGGGGCTACATGTGTCACAGGGGTCAGCTGAGGCCCCACCAGGTGGTGACAGCTCACTACTTTTGGAGTCTGACACCTGTCCTTGTGGTTTTGTGTCTGACCACCTTGAAACAAAATCCACATATGTCTCATCACTTGAGTCCTTGCTGCTTTCTGTGAGTAAGGATGAAGGCCTCCCTCTGTGCTGGCCGTGCTCAGGTCCCCTCCGTGCTTCCAAGTGTGGAAGTAGCAGTTTTGGGTCACTGGCACCTTGAGCAGGCAGGGCCTGGTCCTTGGGTAACGTGGAATCTGCACTCTTCAGTTGCACTTCTTTAGAAGCTGCCTGTAACACACTCCTGGGTATATCATAAACGTGTCTGAGAGAGCTGGGAACCTGATACTCTGATCCCACAGCTCTCTGGGACTCACTGTGAGGACAAGTACATAGACTCTGATCCGAAGGAAAGTTCAATGGCAAGCTTAGCAGTGATCCAAACTCATCACCGTGGCAAATGTCTAAGCTCCCAGCATAGGAAGAGAAGCTCCCAGAGTAGGAAGAGTGACTACCAGTAGCTATTCCACTGTCAGAAGAACTCTGACGACCTATTTCCTGCAGCTGTCTGGATCGGAGCGGCTTCGGAGGGGGTTTAGCGGTGCCACGTGCCCCTTCTGGAAGGGTCTTTTCCTCTCCCAGGTGAATGCCCTTTGCAGCTGCCAGCCCATGGCTCTCCTGAGAGATGCTGGCTGAAGATTGTTCAGGCCACACTGTCAACCTGCTCCCAACACTGACATCTGAGTGGCTGGTATCTGAAGATGAGCTTGAAATACTCCTGTCATCTCCTAGAAAAGAAGGAAACGCATCAACCTGTTTAAAACATATTTTACTTTCATACAGTTAATTGGGTTGCTGTACCAAAATACAGTCGTACATCACTGTACAAATAAAAATAATACTGTTATAAAAATGTTTACATATCTATATACAAAAATACTTTTGTATATCTGTCTATCTGTGATTCATTTATGGCTATATTGCAAGATTGTTTTCCTCAATTACAGTTGCAAGAAAGGCATTTTAACAGGTAATTACTGCCTTCAAAGACAGAATATGAATTTTTAAAAAATAAAACATTGGCATGAAAGGGCACCAGGACAAAACACAAACATCATACAAACAAACAAATACAAAATCAAACAAATACAGAACCATTTTCTTGTAGCACAAACAGAGTCCACAATGTTATTTTCTCCTTTCTTAATAAAACCAATGCAAAAAAAAAAAAAAAAGGCAGAAACTGCATATGAAGTTGGGCCATGATTTCTGAGCAGAGGAACTGAATAAAAAAAAAAATCAGCATGCTTATCTATCAAGTCTCATTTTCTGTCCTTTCAGTTAAGTCTAGTAGTTATGTGCTAATTAAGAAAAACCTCAGGAAGTCTCACTGGAGTACAGTCACAAACCACATTACCCAGCAATGTCTAGGCCAAAGCAGCCATGGACATGTATATAAACACATAATTAAGCTCCTGAGGATATTCACAGGGACATTTTTTAGGCTTGCAGGCTTTAGAATCAGGCGCAAAGCAGGTGTTTGGATGATCCAACTTCAGCTATTAAACAGTTCAAATGGCAGTTCAGGGCACAGGCCCTTTTACAAATCCAGTGCTAGACACCAATTCCACTTTGATACACTACCAACTCCAGAGAAGGCATGTACAGAGAGCAGAGGAAAGCACAGGAGTTCTATGTTTTACTGCAAAAGTCTGCTGTAAGCCTGATGTGTGAGCCATACAAGTGAGTCCATCGCATGGGCTGCACTGACAAAGGTACTTTAGCAGATACCAGATTTGATGTAGACAGTTCTTTTTGAGTTTTACATGCAAAAATTCAGTAGGACTCAGCAACCTAAATGGTCCTCCTGGATTAATAGAGTTTGATTCAAAACTCAGTCTGCTGAGTTTAAAACCTCCAACCTACATCAAAGGACTTCAGACAATGCTGTTAAAGAACTGCTTCATAAGAAACATAACAAACCTAACGTCTTGACCATTTCTCTATTATTTTTCTTGTAAGCTCCACATCTTATGAGACAGGCCATATAACTTTTAAAGCCTGGGCAGGAAGGAACATAACATATTTTTATTTAATTAGAGGTACTTACCTCCACTACCTTGGCGACTTGTATGGGACAGCAAGCTCAAGCGCTTTTCTAATTGCAAAGCTTCATGAGCCAGTCTTTCTTCTGAATAGGCTGGATTTGTACTTGGATCTTTAAAAAGAAACAGAAAATAAATAAATCAATAAAGGAGGTAACATGAAAAATAAATTTAAAAGAAAGGAAAGATAAAAAGACATTCTTATGCTTGAAATGTTGATTGGAAAAATGTATGGGACAACCTGACTTCAAGCACATCCTGGACATAGTAATTTAAAATTAAAAGTGTCAAAGATTTTCAGAGATTTTACCCAATGTCTGTAATAGTTACCACCAGGGGCAGAACATCGAAGAGAACAGCACCAAAGTCAATAGCTACAGAAATAATTAGCATCCAACAAGTCTAAAGAACTTGAAAGCTAATTTGACCCACACAAAATCTGTCCTGAATTCACTGGATTCGCTGGGAATTTTAACGTCCAGAAAGATCAAATTTTTCACCCGAGAAATTTCCAAATCTACATCATAAAGCCAGAATCACAGCCATTAAACTGACATCTTACAATCCAGATCATCTATTTACAAAGACTTTGCTTTCAAGTTGGATGTTAAGAAGGTCATAAAGTTCAGATGTCAGAGATAAAAACAACCAATCTGGTGGCTCTGTCTTCATGTTTAATACAAGACAAGTCAGGATTATAAAAACCACTTCTAAAATGTACTGTCATGGATTTTCCCCATACATTTTAGTGAGTTTGCCATTCCAGCTGAGATTATTTCACTGGTGGTGGCTCATTATATTCCAAAAAACAGTAGAAAGACCAAAAATTAAACAGAATGTGGAAGAAGTCTCATCAGGGAAACAGGCCAGTTTCCTCTAAATCATTTTTTTTCCAGCAGGCACAACAATAAAACCAGATGTTGGAAGTAATTATAAGCCTTATCCAAACAGAAACCTTATGGATTCCTTCAAATAGCACTGATGAGCGTGTCCTGTTCAGTGGTTACAGGAGATATGGTCTGCTAACTTGTTCATCATCAGAAACCTCAGTAATTCTCATTAATACACAGGGAAAGTAATCAATGACAGTGAAAACAGATTAGCTTCCTCACAACTGCTGCTCTTGTGTATCTGATCAACTGGGCAGTAGAAGCACACCACAAAAACACTGAATCATTTAATAAGAGGGGGAAAACAGATGAAAAAGGCTATACATTCTTGTGATTGAGTTAGTAGGACAAAAAACCGTTGGAAAGATGAAAGAAAAGCTTCATTTTCACCCCAGGTCTTTTAGTTTTAAAAGACTTGGTTTTGATGTTGTCAACACAGCAGTCAAAGCAAGCTCATAATCAGGGGAAGGAGCACTGCCAGGTCAGCCAAAGCTCCATGGGAGCTCCCTACGTTATCAGCAAACTGCCACATCTCTCCTCCCTAAGCATATTCACTTTCTGACCTGCCCTAGGTAGGAAAAGAAATGACAGTGCTGAACTTTCTAACTTTCTTTCTCATGTCAAGGAGGTTTCCATCTTTGGCAGTCTGCAATCTGGGTAAGATGAGCATCAAAACTAAGATATGCACAGTCCATCTACAACAACATACACTGGGCATTCTAACAGGGACAAGGCAACAATGCCCACGACAAACAGAGTCTGTGACCTCTGTGTCTCCCAGCTCAGACAGTGCTTGACACACTTCAGACTTAAGAAAAGAAAATAGGACTGTTTGATGTGGATTATTTTCTTGGGTGTCCATTCCTATTTACCCAGCAAGACAGCTCGCATTAGCCATTGACTAGTTCAAACCTGCACAACTGCTCAAACAAACCCCCAAGGTTTTCATATGGACCTCTGCCAAAGGAAAACACAACATTTGGCCACCAGCACCTATGGTGCAACCCAGACAGGTCCATGCAAGGATCTGCTCAGTAGCATACAGCATTACAAGCTGCTATTTTTTAATGTCCTCTGCTCCAGTTACTCTGCCCTATCTAGTTAAATGCCTTGTGTCCAAAAAAGGTCCAAGGAAGATGTTCTATGAGCACTTTGAGTATAAAGTTGTCGTACCAGATCAGCAAATTTGGTCAAAACAAGATGCAAACAGACACTAATCCTTCCCACATCAAAGAACTGTGAGTAGGAAAGGTCCTTTCACTTTCCTCACAATATGATTACTTGACAAATGCACATTTTCAGAACATTACTAGGGCACCTACATAACAACTAGATTTTTAAGTTAAAGATGTCCCTCTTACAGAAAGCAAAAGATATAATTAAAAACAAAACAAAACAAAAAACTGGTCAAACCACTGATCTAGTAAAATTGGCTTATAATAAAATACATGAGGTAGGAGGGAAGTTGAAGTCAGACAGTTTGGACTTCACACATTCAATTGCCCCCAGGAGCCAAATTCCCTATCAGCTTCACAGCTACAGAACACACCAGGTTTCACCCAACAACATGAAACCTCTAGGCATAGAGTCTGTCCAATAGAACTAATAATTTTTTGGTTAAACTTCTCCTTAAGGACTGCCTATGAATAAAAACATGTGTATAAAATTGTGTATAAAGTTGGATTTGCTGGCATCATCCTCTGCCTTTTGCATGCCCAACACACAATATCTAATAACTTTGTAGCAATTTGCCACATTAGTAACTCAGGGGGACAGAAGCAGCATGACCGGTACCAAGACAGCTGTCCAAGGAAGTTCCAACAGCTTCTGCCCACACATCTGAAAGCTGCTCTTTAGTATTAGTACTTTAATTTCCCAAAGCCTTAACAAATGTATCCCGTCCTGTGATTCACTCAGGCCCTTCAATTAATAAAATTTTTTATCATTTTCCAATCAAATATGGATCCCTTGCTGTGAGGAAAATGATCTTTTATGAGAGGCAGTCATCGGAATCATCTTAAACACTGCTTTGGGGCAAAGGGGAAGGATTACATCAAATTTAGCTGGACTAAAAATGCCTCTGCTGGAGATTTTATTTTTATATTACGTTGGTGGGTATTCATTAAAGCCACATCAGCTGTTCATCGTGGGAGATTTTGAATACTTTGGTAACATACGAATAAAGTGTCACAGTAATTCAAAGCTCCGGGGTTGTTCAATAAGCACCTGTCAGGAAAAAATGTATTGTATCCAGTTCAGTCAGCAGCTACCTAATTGGCTTCATGCATCTTTAAAATGCAACACTGGTTAATTACTTTGTTAAACAAAACTAAATAGGCTGAAATCTCTCTTTTTCTTCTTCCTGTGTAACTGTAGTCACATTTGTAAATCAGGCCTGGACCCTCACCTTCTTGCTAACATTTCCACACCTTGTAAGATGTCTGGAGGAATGAAAAGATGTCCTAAAAGTTTGAGGAGGATCCACTGGGTACTGCAGAAGGCAGCCATAGAGCTGTCTTGCAATGGCCAAAGGTCTATCAAGCTTCAACAAAAAGAAAGAGCATCAGATGGATCCTCAGCAAGCAGCACTACACACTCCTCAGTCAGTCACAAAGCAGCCTGAAAAAGCTTCCAAAATTAAAAGAGAGCATCCAGACTATTAACATTACACCTGGGGTCCTTCCAGACTGCAGGACTAATCTGTCACATAATCAGATATAGAGAGTACTGGTCTGCCCACTGAACAAAGATATCACTGATGGGCTCTTGGGCCTTTGCTGTGCTCAGGTTTGGCATTCAACATAAATCTTGCTAGTGAATAAAAGGAGTTGAACACAAACATTTATCAAATATTAAGCATGCAATATAGTGTAGGTTACAAACCATGCAATCAGTGATTCATTACTAAGTCCATGTCTAGACTTCTGTCAAGACAGAAAGAAAAATTCTCTGGACTGTTTTCTAAATTTCTCTTCAAGAGAAAAAAAGAGATCATACTAGTAGCCAGTTAGAGCAGGTCTCTTTCAGCTGGGGAAAACAAACCATCCAAAGCCATTACTCCTTAGTGTCCTTTATTTAAAATATTAGTCTTCCTAAAAATACCTACAGGCACCCATACCTACATGACCTTCACATTCCCATCTTCTATGTCTTTTGGGGGCGGTTTATGAGGCCTGATCATGCAGCTTTTAACAAATCAAAACCTCCAATCTGCTATTTGAGACATCAATAGGAACATTTTGGTACAATTTCAAAAAATTAATGGACTCCCAAAATAAGTATGACAAGTAACAAATCATAAAACTAATGTTCTTTTCACTTTCCAATTTATTTTGAATGTACACATAATATCATTTTTTATTGTGAGAATAGTAATTTGATTGATTTTCAAAACATTACAGAATAATTCAGGTTGGAGGAGATCTCAGGAGTTCCCTAGTCCTACCTGCTACTCAAAGCTGGTCTGCTGAGAGATTAGACCAGATTTTGATACTTTGCAAAGGTAAATCAAGATTATGAGTTCCACTGCCCTGGATTTTCACTGCATATTTTATAGCTGACATCACAAAATACGTGCAGCAATCATATAGCCATGTGATAAGAACATCATGTTTTTTAGGAAATAAGGCACAGCTTTTAAAAGTACAGTCCTAAAAAGAAGATGTAAATATTGTCCTTGAGAAAACACTCCTTTCACATCCAGCTTACAAATTCCATTTGGATACTGGCTATTTTGCATTTATTTAAGAATCACTATGGCAAGCAAGAAAACTGGTCATTTCCCAGTCCTCTCAAACCATTCTCTACCATCTCCTACTAATTTCATGCTAACACATAAATATTTCAGCAACCCTTTTAACCATATTGTTGAGCTGTTTGTACATAAAGCAACTGGTTTCATTCATTCATCTTTTCTACAAAGACAGACTACATTGATTGCATAACATCTATAGATTATATTTGTTCTGTGGGTGTTGGTGTCACTGTCACTGTTTTTACCATATTACATTCTTTCTCTGTATATCAGCCCTTTGTGTATTTTCCTTGCTTGAAAATACCACACTGCTTCAAGCATATTTCATGTTTAAGTTGGAAAGGTACAGGCAAAGGCAAGATGCCGAATTCAAGTAGCAAACTGTGAAGACAATGTTTCTCTAAAAGCTTTTAAATTGCACAAAAGAAGAATATTGCATACATAAAGTGCAGTTGAGGCTGTGTAGCATTCTGCATTGAAGTAAATATGAATTACATAGACAAGAGGTTTCTTGGTAGAATCCCCAAGCTTTGATCTAGTTTTGATCTAGTTACCTGAACTGTACAGATAATTAATCTGTTTACAAGCTGATGCTTTCAAAGGGTGAGTCAATTTCAGTACTTGACACATGGTGTGCAGCTGGTAGACTTGACCTTTTCAAGAAATACAGTACATTCTGGGTAACAACATACCTGATAAGGAAAATTAGTTTATGGATGAATCACGAGCACTGTACATGTGCCTTAAACAGATCTGTACAAGCTTCTACATGAAGTAATAAATAAAGGAGAACATAAATTTATATTTATTTTTTTTTCAAGGAATGTGTACATAAGAAGGGACAAGAAACTGGAAGAAACAAAGGTAGAAATACACAGGATGAATGTTAGAGGGCTCAAGGTAGCTTGGACAAATAAAGGCAGAGGATTCTGCAAGTACAAGAGCACAGCTCTTGACAAAACACTTCTCCTGTCCAGGGAAACAAGATGAAGTCAAGTGGATGAGGTTTTAATGCCAAGTACCTTAAGCACAGAAGAGAAATTAAAAGACCTCAGGAAAAAGATCTTCTCTTACAAAAAACCAAGTACTCCCTAGGACACTCCACATCTACTTCATGCACCTCAGTGAGGACAGAGCTCCTGAAGGAGGGAAGAGATTGTGGTATGTGGCACAACAACCCACAAACACCAGAAGTGATAACTAACATGTGAAAGCAGATTTACTCCTACGTGCTTCTGAAAAATGAATCTTCAAAGATTGTGCTAAAATTAAAATTTAAAATAATAATTTTTTAAAAAGACAACAGAATAGTTGTTTGTAGGCTTAATTTTTCCAGACAGAAATTCTTGTTACATGAGCAATATAAAGATTGTATATATGTATTTATATATACATATAGTTTTAGATATGCAGAAAAAGGTGTCCAATAGCAAAGCTTTAAGTATAAACACTGATTTTTGTGTTACTGTTGTTGGGTTTTTTCTGTTTGCTTCTTTAACACTCCAGTTAATTGAATGCAAACATATATCATCACAAGAATGACTTTTTTGTCTACCATTCTGCTAGATTATTTAATTTACTTCTGCCTTACAACCATGAGAAAGACAACATGAACTGAGTTTTGTGTTTACTGCATTTACTATATTTTAACTAATAACTAATTTTTCATAATTTACTTAGACAAGCTTCACATAATCTAACGATCTAATAGTCTAAAGATCTAATCTTTTCCATTGCATTTCTTTCCTGCAATTATCTTAACCTTATAACAGCAATAAAACTCTGTCAAACACTTGTTAACTGCCTAACACTTACACAAACTCAAAGTATTTCACAAATCCCAGCTCATCCTTCACCATTCTTGCAACCTATTCCTACTGTATTCCACCACCAAACCATAGACAATTTTCTGCAATCTCATTTCTACACTTTTGTCCTGTCTGACAGAGTCATTCTGACTCAATACTGTATTTCATCTGCTGAAATCAAAAGACAATAGTCTTTATTATGATGCCATCCAAACTCCTCTTTGAACATCGCAGTACATGCAGCATTTATCATAAAATAGGAGAAGGAATTTAATCCTCACGAATCAGGAAAAAAGCTCAAGCTGAAAAACATAAATGTGATGTGGAGGCTTGACAAAGTTTTCTAAGGCTGAAAAGACTTGGAACATTGTGTTTTGGATAAACTCAAAATGCTACAGATAGTTTCCATTAAACTATCAAAATAGCAATGCAGACATGGATCCAAGTTAAATGTGTAAGTTTAAAACTAAAAGTTAGCGTTCCTTTGAATTCAAATTGCCATTTTTAGTACTGTTAAATAGAGATGGCTGGAGTTAGCAGTATCACCAGAAATATGAATGAGCCAGAGCAGCAGGGCGAAACTGGGTACATCCAGCTTATAAATCTGTAGGGTGACATTTCAGAATGAAAACCACTTTGCACTCCACACACCCTGAGTGTCTGCAAGCTGCTGTCACAGCAGCAGCAGTGGGTGCGAGACATGACAAGTTCCCACTTCACTTGGTTACTCTATACTTCCTGTATTAACCTGGGAGCACTGGACGCAAACCAAAAGGGCCCTTGGTCGGGGAGATGCCGCGGACGATGCAGTCGAACAGGAAGCTGATCTGCTCCCCTTCAGTGCAAGAGAGGAAAAAAACACCAGCCCCTGCAAGAAAGCACAACATAAATATGCATGGTTTTCACCTGGAAATACTAGAAATGCATTTAGCTGAAGATACTTATAACGTAGCAATCAAAAGAGTTTTAAGTGCAAGCCATGAAAAGAAGTCAACAAGATATTCTCCGGGGAAGAGAAAGAAAAAATTCATGTCAGCACACACACACACACTATACCACAAACATACATACAAATTCAATAGCTGTCTAATAGTTTATGTTAATTTTATGACATTCAGGCAGTTAGAGCAGTATCCTAGAATCATAGAATGGCTTGGGTGGGAAGGGACCTTAAGGATCATTCAATCACAATCCCTCCTGAATGTCAAAACAGACACCTTATTCTCAACAGCTGCCCAGGACTTTTATTCTTATGGACACCTAAAATTTTACAGGTCAAACTTCACTATGCAGAAAGTATAAAGAATACTTAAAGTGTCTTCAAAAGAATGAACTAAGTTAATTCCACTTTTAACCAGTTTTAAGCAAGTGAGCTTTTTATACACAAACAAATTAGAATTTGGTTATATTGCTGGATTATAGTATAAATATTCCTAGACTAAGTCCTATGTGTCTATAATTAACAGAACGTAACACAACTCCACAGGTTGTCATCAGATCTTTACCCTTTGCTCTATTCTGATATTTGCTTTCCATTCATTAAGAATAGCCCCAAGCAAAATTAGAATGAGAATCACTAAATAAACAAACAAGTTATGAGCTCCATGACACATGGCTACATGAACAACACAAAAGACTAGAAGGGCTCCACAGAACATTTTATAAATTGTCAGTCCAAATATAAATCACATCCGGGAAAAAAAAATCTTAAAACATCAGATGAAAGACCACCCAAGTAACCAGCAATTTCAGGGAAATAAAACTTCAATACCAGACAAAAAGGGGAATTAAATTAGTATATATATCTTGAGAAAGAGCTGCCACTCCAGAGCTAAGCATACTAGAAAACTCCAATATCAAATCTTAAACCTACAGTAGGGTTTTGTACATTACTTTCCTTGGGACTCAGGCCCTTAATCTAGACACATGTTTGACTTCTGTATGTCTCTAGCCAATTCTGAGTTGCATATGTATTTTTTTCAATTTTACTCGAAGAAGCAGAGCTGATCTTGACCAGAATGATTACATCCCCATTACTATTACTTTCCAAACATATACCCTGTCATATCCAACAGGATACTCACATTTCACTTAAGCAATGTATACACTTTTGACAACTTGACAAAGGGCTGTGGAATTCAAACAAAAAGAAGAAAAAAAAAAAAGGAACCACAATACCTATTTGAGTAAATTAGGTATAACCAGCAAGCTGTGAACTAACCTCTCTAGGAAAAACATATTCTGGTCCGTACACTTTTGTCATCCTCAATTTATGTCACATCTAGGTCTCTGCCAGTTCTGCTTAAATCTATTCAAGACAACGCTGTTAGAGGCATCTTCATAACTTGATTTGTCACTCTACCACATTTGCATCTCTTCAGATCTTACCTATCAAGAACTCTTCAGCCAAAGAAACATGAACACAGCCTGGCTTCAGGATCAGAGGCCATCTAGGAGATTACAACACTAATCACACAGCCTGACAGATATGAAGTTTTCTGCTGCTGACTTGTAGTCTTGCCCTATTTCCGCTTTCCAGGAGATGCCAAAGTCAGAGAACATTGTATTAGGATAAAAAAATCCCAAGTGCAATGTATTCAGCTTTTTCTTTGAGCTGATTTCTCCTCCCTGAACAGAGTACAGAGAATCTACAGGAACATGACCTTTGCATTCCATGCATCATAAGCAAGCAGGATATAGACACAACATAGCAGAGGACATTCAGGTCTCAAGTACAATGATATACTACGTGGGCTGATAATTCAGCAGAATCCTACACCTCCCTGTTGCCACTCAGGTCTCAAAAAAAGATTTCTCAAATATTTCTGTACATAAAGAGTACATCTGGACCACTTTGTTCTTTTATAACCTTTTTCAAGAGTTACTTAAACTCCTAAGAGGCTTTACAAACCTTTGACTTTAATGGAAACAAAGAAAGTAAATGTGTGCGTGTGAGCTGGCTGCTTAACTCACAAGATTTTTTCTGCAAATAACTGTCAGTAATTTGGAAATCCCAAAACCAAATGCAGTGACCTTTATATAAGCAGTGCAAAGAGTGTATGTTCATGTGCATGTGGATACAAATTCAACATAAAAATACAATAATTTCTTTATAGAGTCTATTATTCATATAAGCACCTTAATTGATGACTGACTCTCACAGGAAATATTTTATTTCTAGTTTTGCAAGGGAAGGAAGAAGTCTGAGGATCCTTGCAAAAAACATCAAACGAGATGAATGAGTAGGTAGGGCTTAACTAAAGCAAACATAAAAGCAAATTATTACATTTCTTTTCTACTTTCTTGAGAAAACAGAAATTCACTACTGGAAATTGCATACCTCAGTCATGTGTTGGAACAGTTTTGGTGCACAGGCATTTAGAAGTCAAAGAATGTGTGGTATGCATCACTGTAATACCATGCAGCTGTTCACCAGACTGAAAGGCTCACTCAGCTCTCTCCATGGGCTGTGAGACTTGGTGGAAAGCAGCCTCCAACCACTTGCACAAGACTGAAACACTCAGCCAGCCTTCGGTGGCAGTCAGCAGTAAAGCATTGGACAGTCTCTCAAACATTCAGGACAAGCTGCCGATTTCATACAGCTTCTAAGTACTTAATCTTGCCAATGTTGATTTTAACATTGTTAAAATTGTTTAGCAAACAATTTAGCATTGTTAAATTTTGTTTAGCACGCCCATGGGCGAACATACTTTCAACATGGACAGTAGCCAAAAGTTACTTCTCTCTGTGGTGTGTGTGAAAGCAGGGAGGAAGAGTCAGTTCTTCCCCATTAATTACTACTCCTAAAGAGTGCCAGACAATCCTAGAGCCTGAAGCCTTTTAGCTGCTGGACAGGTAGGAACTGCAGCAGCTCATTCCATGGCAATCAGCATGTGCATCCCAAGCCTGGCCTTGAGCAACTCCCTTCAGAGGATATCTCCCACTGCTCTTCTCTCTGGGGAAAATGACAAAGACCACTCCTATTATTGCTAAATAAGATATGGACATGACTACTAAAAATAGACAAATAGATAAATGTTGGTTATCTGCAGTAGGCCTAAGTAGGAGACAGCACAGAATATCTGCATATAAACAGAAGTTTTAATCAATGCAACCCAGAATTTTTCAAAAAATTCCAAGTCTTTCCCCAGTTTAAGCACCCCTACTACTTCTAAATTTTAAATAAATGAAGGAGAGGAAACAAGAAAGGAAAGAAGGAAGGAAGTACCAAATTCTATCAAAACACCAAAACTATCACAGAAATACTCCTGCTTATCCTACAATTAGCATTTATTCTTTCAAAGGGCACTAAGGGTCCTAAAAGTTCCTTTCTCCAAGGAGATGCTGAAAATATGAGGCAGCTTTAAACCAGGCTCTGGAAGCTAATCCTGAAGCACTTGAACATTGGAGAGCCTGAATTCTCATGGTGTTAATGTGCCCTTTTATGACCCTTCTTGAATTTTTTCACACTGACCTCCAAGTGAAGATTCTCCTGGCAACTGGTCATTTTAACTGGTGCACACTAATTGAGCTGGGAGCTTGGGAAAGTGAGAGGCTCCTTTTTTTCCAGCCTGTTCCTCCATGTAAACCTCTCAACTGACTGCTAGGACAAGACACCTGCTTGTTTGAAAACAGTGTGTGACTAAGCTTCAGCTACAGAGACAACAAAATTTTTGACCAGGAAATAACTTATTTGCAGCTTTCAGAAGCAGAAGAAATTATTTTTTTTAATCTCTAGTGGTACAATTATGATGTTAAGAGCAAGAGGAGTTCAGAATGTAAATGCTCTTCTTCCTATTTATGAATAAACTGGTGTGAACCATCTTGAAAATGTACCATTTAAATCAGATGGTTTCCCTCTTCCTGGATTGAGCACCAAAGCCTTTGGAGTTGAATTAAACCTGTACTAAGCAACAGAACATAATGAAGTATTTCATATTTATAAAAACTTTCATGAGGAAGCAAGAAACAGAAAGCTAAAACAAATTCATATCCTTTTAGACCTCAGTTCTACCACAGATATACCCAAAAAAAGCTCTGCTTCAATATGAGGCTTCATATGTTTTATTACGGAGAGGAGAGGCAATGAACCACAAAATTATTAGTTCCTTTTAATTAGGTATTTATTACAGTGATATTTAAACCTTAAATTCACTAATCCTCTGCATTCAGAGCTTCACAGGATGAATGTGTGCAAAGATACAGTTTAACCTGTAGGAAAGTAACATTAATAACAGAGTCTGCATAATATACTACACTTACATGACAAGGTAATGGATAGTGCTTTTGTTTTGGAATTAAACAACTTCTGTAATAACATATCAATTTTTTTCCTGAGCACTACTTGTTTACCTCAAGAATTGCAGAGGACTGAGGTAAAAGATATCTGGAGAAAGATGGTCTTTACCAACACACTTCTGTAACGAATAACCAGAACTGTATTTTTCTTTAGGTTCTATTTTCAAAAAGCCATTTCTTATAGTGGCAATATTAAATCAAGTGTTTAGACTAAACACATATTTAAATGTTGTTATGCCTGCGGATGTGTTTGACTGCTTAGTTAAGGGCAACAACTCCTTTAACAAAATCAGCTTGAACTTGTAAAGAGTTTCCAACTGTGGCAGGCTGTTTTGTACCAAATTGACTATGCTGTTCTCTTTGAATGCACACATGCAGGGGAAAGGCAAAAATACCCTTTCAAGGCAACTAAAAGGTCTCAGCTACCGACAGACACATTTCTTAAGAAAGATCCACAAGGTAGTGGGACCCTTTCCAAAGCACTTTTCTAATTACCACAGATAATTCAGGTTCCATCACCCAAAGCTCCTCATTTCACAGAATCATTGAGGCTGAAAAAGATCCTGACATAATCGAGTCCAACTTTGACTGGACACTACCATGTCAACTAAGTGCCATGTCCAGTCATTTCTTAAACACCTTCAGGGATGCTGATTTCACCACCTCTCCAGGCATCTCATTTCAATGCTTGACAACCCTTCCAGTGTAGAAATTCTGCTCAAAGCTCATCCTCAGTCTCCTCTGGCACAGCTTGAGGACACTTCCTCTCATCATGTCTCCTGTTTCCTGGGAGAAGAGACCAATCCCCACCTGGCCACACCCTCCTGTCAGGTCAGAAAGAGGTCAGGAACTTGCGTTTCCACTCCATAGAAGTATAGCTACCAGAATTTACAAGCGGAGCAACAGTATGCAAGTCCCAGGAAGACAATATTTGGATTTGGATCAACTCTGAAATCTTCTAATTTTTCAGTTTATTGAAGAAAGTATGCAAGTCAATCAACTTCACATCCAAACTGGCAATCTGCATATTCACCTGTGCTCACAGATCATCAATTCAGCATGGCTTCAAACTCTGCTTATTAAATTAAAACCTTATTAAGATAAATCTAATGATATGTTACTGTACCTGTGCATTAATTATCTTTTTGAGATCTTGCACACATTTTGTCTGAAGTGAGAATTTGAGAAGTTCTAATTTGGCCATTGAAACAAGAGCTTTATCTCCGTGTAAAGATGTACCTTAGCTACCAGGCTATACAAACTAGCTTCAGCTTGCTTGCTTTCATTTTGACCCCATAAATGACACAGCTCCACCCTGTAGTTACAAAGCTGCTAATAGCAAAGGGGCCAGAGAGTTGTTCTAACTTTTAGGAGCAAAAAGTACTCTATGGGATTTAGGAATTAGCATTTACACAATGAGAACATTGATGCTGCCTGTAATCTCAAAGCTCCATATCACTTTCCCCTCACCAAATGACAAAATAATTAATCACAATTTAATAACCTGAACATTAAGCTATTTTACCTTATCTCCTGCATAACACAAGCCATAGAATTCCATTACCTTATTTTTGCTCTGTGTCCAATAGCAGCTTTTGACTAAACATCTTCTGGAGAGCCACAGGGAAATTTTCAGCCAGGACTGCACAGAGTCACATTTCTCCTGAACACCAGGGTTGAAGCCTGCAGAAATCTACTCAGAACAGACCCTCTGATAAGAGGCTGCCTGTCTGACAAAATAGCACAGCTGGTTCTACAGTCTCCACTTGGAATGAGAGCGCATTTACATTTCTGCAAAAGGCATCAAGCAGTGTTCAGAAGAGAGGTTCCTTTTGTACTTACAGAAGCCGCACCTGGTTCCCCCTTCAAAGATGAATCCGTTTGGGACAGCTCCGTAGCGACGCAGATCTGAGAGCTTCCACTGCCCCATGACACTGGGAGGAAGGTCCTTCACAAGGACAAGGATGTCATTGCAGAAATGCAGGGTAGCAGGCCCACTCTCTAATTTTGTGCCAGGGGCTACAAAGACTTGAAATCTATGAACTACCAAAAAGGAAAAAAAATTACTACAGAATGTACAAGAATATACAAGAATATACAAGTTGTGTAAGTCATTCTGTTCAGCTGTGGTACTTGGACCAAACCCTGCCCACACCATGAGACTCTGGCATAAAGATCTATGTGCAGCCCAGACAGTCACATGTAAGTGGCTGTAAGACCATTACTCCCTATTATGCCTGTTTAGGATTGGAAAAATTCACCATATCTTAGCCTAATGCTACAAATTATTAAAATTGCAATGCTACATTAATTTATCCTAAATTTCCAGGCTAATCCCTATCTCAGAACAGTCAATTATCCAGCCAAGATTTCACTTACCTCTTCCATCCTTGCATCATTACGTGCTTTCTGTCTCCTCTTCTAACCTGTGTCTCTCCCACATCCATGCACAAAAATAAAATGGTGCTCAAGGAGCCCCAAAGCCAAGGCTCAAAGAACTAAACAAATCTCTCTATCACTGACTCATCTGCAACCTTTAATAAACTGCTTCACTTCCTCCCTAGCAGTAAAATGAGGAAAATTACATTATTCTGCCTTTGCAATTCTTTCATGATTTGGTGACGGTAGATGCCGAGACATTTAAAATTACTAGGAAACTATGTTATTTATAAGTAACAAAAACTTTCGGATGTCAGTTAATTTTTCATATTTCACATCCTGAATTTTAAAAGGGTGGAGAAATAAAAAGAAACACCTATCTCATTCAGGTTTACAAAATCGAGGTTCAAATCTTAATTCCAGTGTCATCTGTGTTGCAGTATCCTTAGCTAAAGTAGTTATTCTAGGGTGGTCTCCCATTTTCTCTTCCAGGGCTATTGCATTCTGAATAATAAGTTATTGGGATCACTTCAAGGGCTCAAATCTCAGTGTTTCAAAGGGAACAATTTAAGTGAGCAAGCATATAATTCTCAAACAATTGTTTTGAACTCCACTACAGTTCTAGTTTCTTTCATATTGTGATTAGACACAAAAAAAACCCCTCAAACCCAACAAACAAAATAAAAACAAAAAACCCACAACAGATTTTAAAAAAACAAACACTTGTCTTAGTAGAGAGAAGCATCAAGACTCTTAAAGTTCCAGGAGGAGGTTTTTGGTGGTGTTTATCAAGAAGAACATAAATTTAGCTTTTGGTCATGTGTCAAAGATTACAAAAACAGCTCCCTGACTACGAAATCTATGGGGTACCTCCAGGTACTCTCAGTTCTTACATCCACTCTTCCCCATTTTCTTGTCCATGCTTCCTCAAGCATCACAAATTTCATCTGGGTCTGAGTCCTGCTTCTCATCTAACTGCTTGCTGTATTCTTAGTCACGATCTGAGCTGAAAGCCAACTCCTCATCTATGACATGCATTTGCTAAGTTCCCTAAGGCTCCAGCAGAATTAGCCACAAAGTCATCCGAGTGAAATGTGCAAGGAGACAGAGATAGATCTAACTAACCACAGCTCTGCTTACAGCTCTGCCAGTAGCACTGCTAGGGAGCAATTCAGTAGTCACACCATGTCCCCTTTTGGGCACGCGGTTGTTACGCAACCTGCTTAAACATCAGCTGTGAAAAAAGCAGCAAAACCATCGTGATCAATAACGCTCAGAAAGGAATATTTAATGTCATTTGCACTCCTCTGCTCAGTTAACTCTGCCCAGTATTTTCCTGGCAATTAAACCATGGGAGAAGCAGCATCAGGATTCTTTCTGCTTCATAATCGAGGAATGAAGCCCACTCTTCACACGATCAGTTGCAAGTTACAACAGCTGCTGAAAACAAAGAGCTCCAGCCCAAATTGTAGACCACTGTCAAAACACAGCCTACCCAAATTTGAACAAAGCCAAAGTAAAAGGAAAAGCATATTTGAAAATGAAGCTTTTTCCATACACGGTTTTCTTGGTAAATTAGAATTTTTTTCAAAACTCTCCCCATTGACTTCTCCTACTCTATTAAAAAAAATAAAAAATCATTGTGAAGACACAGAGCTGAGTATATCCCAAATATAGAATAAAAGGTACTACTAAAATCCATCATTTTCTTCAGCCCATCTTTTCACAGTTATGCACTGACCTGCAATATGCTAACTTCTCAAAATGAGTTGTGAGCCCAAGCACATTCCAGGAATCACATCTACCTCATCTGCTAAAAACTGAGAGAAAACACTGGGAACTCCAGTGTGAACACCTCCATTCTGTGGTCCTCATTCAAGAACAGTCTCAGCTCCTTTCACTTTTTTTTTTTGCTTCCCAGACTCTGAGGTCATCTCTCCCTAGTCTATTTTTATCATCCAGCCACCTTATTTTCAAGGCATACAAAGGCACCCTTACTACACTTCAAGAAAAAACACCAGTCACCATCCTCTCTTCATCTACATCTTCTCTTTTTTCTATTTCTTTCTACTCAAATTAGACTCACTTTGACTTCGTTCTCCTAATTGAACATGCACTGAAAGATAAAATTCTGAAAAAAATTTCAATGCTTTGGTTTATTCTCCTGCCCTGAAGCTTTTTTACAATTACCTTTATATAAATTGTTGCCAGTTCAACCAATTACACTTGTTTTCATACTTCTGCATTTCTTCACTTACACACACACAATCTCTCCCACTTCAGCTTTACTCCATGGCTGCACATGTCATAATCCAGTAGGCTTTATTCCTACCTCATTCACAATTTTTCTTGAAAAAAACTCTGCTGCTTTTGCATGTCCTCCAATCCCAACCATAACCCTCACACATAGATTGAGATTACTCCAACACTACATCAGTGCAGGATCATAAAAAACAGACCTACTCTGTCATATTCAAATACTCCTTCAGTTTTAGGACAAGTCTATGCTATATATAGATCCCAAACCTAGTAAAAAAAAAAAAAAAAAAAAAAAAAACCCTAGCACTGGAAGACTATAGAACTGTATCACCAAAGTGCACCAACCACTCCAGCTACTCAAGCTTGCATTGTTCAGTAACCCCTCTAACCTTTCCTGTTATGCAAGGCTTCATATTTGATAGCCCTGAGAGGTACAGCCACACATCTCACTTCTGATAGTTCTACATATTTTTACTGTAAAATTCCCAGGCCGTCTCTCTACATATGCACTGCAAAGGAACGAGCCCACAAACCCAACAGATGGCAGAGCATATGTAACAAATGATAAAGATCGCTAATGTGTGTCTCCCACACACCTACCCTCCTTCCCTCGTTATGACTAAACAAACATAAGACAGATACTATGGATTACCAACATTATCACTCTTTGTTCACCACAGTACATTTTAGAGCTGCTAACCAAGAAAATAAAATAGGAGGACAGAGAAAGGTGAAGTTAGCTGTAAAGAATGTGTCTGATGACACTCCTTATTGCAAAAAGTCTCTTTCTGAAATGGCACAGTAGCAGCAATAAGAATTTTCAATGCAACACCCAGTAGGCAGCTTAGCAAATTGGGCATGAACTGGCAAAGTTCTACTCAGGAATTATCTCTTAATTCAGGCTCCCTCTGAGTCCTTTTGCCAGGATCCCTGAGTCAGTTGTAGGACCAGAAGTAGAAGTTTGATTACTTTGTTTCAAAGCTGCACACCATCAGTGTCAAAATCAAAACCCCAAGTTAAGAGGTGTCATAGCTATCCATCAGTACTGGGTGGTACTGTAGTCAAAACCTATTGTAAGGGATACCTGTTTTAACATCTCAAGGGGAGAACAGTATCTCCACTCTCAAATGAGTGACAATCTTGTCCTGAACTGCAAATGTTCTATTTGCATTTTTGCTTCACTTTTCTTTGCTTTTTTTTTACCCTGGGGGGGGGGGGGGGGGGGG